GTGGATGTTAACCACTTCTATCAACTATATTACCTAATATCACAGTTATAAAGTTATAAATTAATATATATAGAAACTATTTATAAGACAGTGGATGTTAACCACTTCTATCAACTATATTACCTAATATCACAGTTATAAAGTTATAAATTAATATATATAGAAACTATTTATAAGACAGTGGATGCTTACCACTTCTATCAACTATATTACCTAATATCACAGTTATAAAGTTATAAATTAATATATATAGAAACTATTTATAAGACAGTGGACGCTTACCACTTCTATCAACTATATTACCTAATATCACAGTTATAAAGTTATAAATTAATATATATAGAAACTATTTATAAGACAGTGGACACTAACCACTTCTATCAACTATATTACCAAATATCACAGTTATAAAGTTATAAATTAATATATATAGAAACTATTTATAAGACAGTGGACGCTTACCACTTCTATCAACTATATTACCTAATATCACAGTTATAAAGTTATAAATTAATATATATAGAAACTATTTATAAGACAGTGGACACTAACCACTTCTATCAACTATATTACCAAATATCACAGTTATAAAGTTATAAATTAATATATATAGAAACTATTTATAAGACAGTGGACACTAACCACTTCTATCAACTATTAAATATCACAGTTATAAAGTTATAAATTAATATATATAGAAACTATTTATAAGACAGTGGACACTTACCACTTCTATCAACTATATTACCTAATATCACAGTTATAAAGTTATAAATTAATATATATAGAAACTATTTATAAGACAGTGGACGCTTACCACTTCTATCAACTATATTACCTAATATCACAGTTATAAAGTTATAAATTAATATATATAGAAACTATTTATAAGACAGTGGACGCTTACCACTTCTATCAACTATATTACCTAATATCACAGTTATAAAGTTATAAATTAATATATATAGAAACTATTTATAAGACAGTGGACACTAACCACTTCTATAAACTATATTACCAAATATCACAGTTATAAAGTTATGAATTAATATATATAGAAACTATTTATAAGACAGTGGACACTAACCACTTCTATAAACTATATTACCAAATATCACAGTTATAAAGTTATGAATTAATATATATAGAAACTATTTTTAAGACAGTGGACACTAACCACTTCTATAAACTATATTACCAAATATCACAGTTATAAAGTTATGAATTAATATATATAGGAACTATTTATAAGACAGTGGACGCTAACCACTTCTATCAACTATATTACCAAATATCACAGTTATAAAGTTATGAATTAATATATATAGAAACTATTTATAAGACAGTGGACACTAACCACTTCTATAAACTATATTACCAAATATCACAGTTATAAAGTTATGAATTAGTATATACAGAAACTTTGAAGATAAAATGTTAATTTTTATCCCATTACCCCATGTAGTGACGTGATTGACGATACCCAGTTATACTAAAAATTTGATGTCTCCTTGTAATTCTGCTTTGTATAAATACTTTATTATTTTGAACATTTTTTAGAACATTGTTTTCTTGCCTTATATTTGATTGTGACTTCAAGTTTTCATTCAGAAAAAAAAAATCTGAAATTTGAGCTTTATCAACTGGTAAAACAAATATTTAGACAAAGCCTAAAAAAACAATACAGAACTCCATTTCGTTTTATGTATTTAATGTATAGGCCTATAAATACTTGACCAAAAAACATATGTTTATTTAAACATGTACGGTAATATTATCCTTCATCCCAATCATGCCTGCAGTTAACTTAGATAACTCACAGATTTTGTTATTTTGCCAAAAAATCAGGTTACCAAGGTAACAGATATGTGAATATTTATCTCTCTGACTAAAAAGTAGAAATTGGAAGGTTATTCAGAAAATTAACACCTAGTTTTTCTTCACTGACCTAGCCTGCCTTAATACTCATTACATACCAATCTATTGGCTGGGGCACAGGATTGTTGATTGGTCTGTATTTACCAGTCATGTCTGGCTGATGATTCTCAGGATTTAGGCATATTGTATAAATTCAGCTTATTGACTTAAAAAATATATCTGATTTAAATTTAGGGATGGATGGTTTTTGATATGTGTATGACACAGATATTTGAATTGCCTAAATTTTTCATTAAAGAATCTATTCATTTGAGTTCACTTACAATGGTATCATATATTTGAACCTGATGTTTCCCACTGCGTCTACTCATTCATATTGGCTGATAAAACAAGGCTCTTGTATACAGGCCATGCATGTTCAAGATCCCTCGACAGTTTGAAATCCAAAAATAGGCTAATGCTGCTGTAAAATGTCTCTCATTGCAAAGTACATTGTGTTGTCTATTAAACTCCATTTTATACCATTACCATGTTTTAGAATCAGACGTACTGTGTAGGCCGGCTTGTTCTGTGTTTGTTTTCACCTTCCTTTGACATTATAACTTATACAACCAATGTTTATCACAATAACAGTCAGTTTCTTTGGCAAGCAGATATTATCATATTGTTAGAAATCATTCTGAAAGTTCTGCCAATTTATGTCAAAGAGTATTTGAAATCTAGTTGGTGTCAAACAGAGATACCATTTTAAACCAGTGTTTTTCACTACATGTTGTAATTTCTCATAAATATAGATAGACAGAAGTAGAGCTTGATTTACTCTGTCACATATTGAAATAAATGAAGACAAAATCAAATCTAATTCAGATCACATAGGAGTAAGACAGGGATATCTGTTTTAAACCTGCAATTTTCACTATATGTACCAATGTCTGACAAATAGAGACAGACAGTAGTACAGCCTGATTTACTCTATCACATATTGTTCTGAAAGTTTAACTTCCTTTTAAGACTATTTAAAATGTTGTTTGTGTCATTTAGGGATAAGACAGGGATACTATTTGAAGCCTTTATTTTTCACTACATGTAGCCTAATGTCTTAACATAGAGCCTGATCTATTCCTAGCCAAGATAGTTCAGTGTTGAACCATTTTATATCAAAGACTAAATCAAATCTAGTTGAGGTTACATAGGGATAAGACAAGGATACCATTTTAAGATCAATGCTGAGCAGTTTGGCCAAGAACCAGTTGGTAGAAAGGATCCCAAAATTTGAAATTGAGTTGTTATCCTTGTAAGATATAGGATGTTTCTTTCCTTCTTTGTTTTTCATACTGTACCCATCACTCAAACTATTTTGAAAGTTTTTTCAATTTCTTTGATCGATTAGATGCAATTGATACAATTTCAGAGAATCTCAACAAAAAACAACCCTGTTTGAAGCAAATTTAAGAGTCTTTTAAGTAGAATGTTAAACACGTCATCCAGGAATACTGTGCTGTAATGAACAATAAGTGTTAAGATATGAGAGAGTTAGAATGATATACCTCAATATTTATTGTTATAAGTAACATCTGTTAGGTAGAATACTACCCTGATATAAAACACAGATACAGTTAATTCTAATCTATCTTCACATTGTCAAGGTTTTACGAAGTTTGTCTTATACCATGACTGCAATAGTCACCTTCTTGTATCACGAAATGCAGCGATTTGATTGGATTGTATGCTAGTGAATACAGCCTATCAGAGCTCTTGACAGAAAGACTGTAAACATTTAGGCTTATTGTTTACAGACTTTCTGTTAAGGCCTCTGATTGGCTGTAATCCTTTATGTACAATTCATCAAATCACTTCATTTAGAAACTTCGATGATACAAGAAAGGTGACTATTGCAGTCGAGGTATGAGACAAAGTTCGTAATAGCTTGACATTGTGAAGATAGTTTAAGTATAGGAACTGAGAAATGGTGACGTCTAATCAGATATTCAACAAAGATGCACCTGAACAGGAAGTTGTAGGTTAAGCATCCTATTATGTAATAAAGGTTAATAATTATCTATTGATATTAGGGGGTAAAAACCGACACCTGGTCGACTCTGACGGATGGCACAGGCATCAAAATTAAAGATTTCCTCTTTTACTTGTGGCTTTTAATAAAGTTCAATTTTTAGACTCGCAGTGAGGGAAATTTTGCAAGGACAGCGGCATTTTTGCTTTCCAAATGACAAGAGATCTTTAACGTGCACAGCCTGTAGCACACAGGGCCTCGGTTTATTGTCCCATCCAAACGACTAGATGTTTTTTCCATGTCAGCCCCTCTTACCTACATCACTGACAGGGGAAAACCGGGTTGAAAAATCTGAAGGTGTTATCTTGAGCTATGGCAGGTTAGCAAGCAAGCATCGAACTAAATTCCCTAAAGAGGGAACGGCATGGCATGAAATGAATTTGCCTTAAGATACAAACGTGAAGTGGAGCTTCATGGCTTCTGAGGAAAAGTTGATGAGGGAACATAAAGAAGAGGTGGAGTTTTCTGAACCTCTAGACTCTGCCCCCTTGCCCCCTTGCCCCCTTGCCCCTCTCACAAGAACAACCTATGCCCTCTAGATTCTCCCACCCCTTCCAAGAACAGCCAATGCCCCTGATGCAGTAAGGTTTGTTTGACTTGAGCATGTTATTGTTTAATGTAATATTTGAAGAATGTAACCTAGGTGCCATGTGGAGTTCTGCCAGATCTTGATTTAGGTGATGATACCACTGTTTATTTACAGCATTCAGAATCTGTAGGTTTTTAATCACATTTTTTTAGAATAGAAATTGCGTCTTATGCTGTATGGTGTCTGAAAGGAAGGGGGGGGTCAGAATGATTTTCAACAGTTTGAAATAATAGAGAGCATGCTGCTGTCAAGGGGTTTATTCATGATTTGAAATGATTTTATGCACCAATCAAAACCTAACTTAAGATGATTTTAATGCTCCAGTCGTCTGATTGGTCAATTAGTAATTAGCCCAAACAGGAATACAGTAGAATAAAGAAGTTCATTTCGCTAAGTCCTGCTGATTGTTCTATCCATTGTTCTGGTTGGGGCATTCAGCTGTAGCTGAGCATCATCAGACCTTTATCTGTTCCTTTTCCCACTCTCCTCATTCTCTTTCTTACTCTCCTCATTCTCTTTCTTACTCTCCTCATCTTTCTTACTCTCCTCATTCTCTTTCTTACTCTCCTCATTCTCTTTCTTACTCTCCTCATTCTCTTTCTTACTCTCCTCATTCTCTTTCTTACTCTCCTCATTCTCTTTCTTACTCTCCTCATTCTCTTTCTTACTCTCCTCATTCTCTTTCTTACTCTCCTCATTCTCTTTCTTACTCTCCTCATCTTTCTTACTCTCCTCATTCTCTTTCCCACTCTCCTCATTCTTTTTCTTGCTCCTTTCATTATTCTTTTAGCCCAAAAGGTAGACAGAAAAGGAGGACATAAAACTCCACTCATTTGATTTCATTTTTTTCTCCACAATTTTAGTGGATTGTAAAGAGTTTTTTTGAAAAAAAAATTTGTATCGGGTACACTGATAACATGAATTTGCACCATTCCAATTTTTCAATCAGACGTTCTTGCAATTCCACTTAAACTAGGCGTTTTATGACTATCTCAAAGATTCTTCTCTATAAATAGCAGCTTTTGCGATGTTGATGTTATAAAACGCTTATTTTTTAGTGGAATTGATGGAACCTCTCTCAACATCATATATGATGTATGTATGAATAAATAGAAATAGAAATATTAAAACAGAACCTAAAAAAACATGTTGTTACTCAGATTTTCAACCTGCATCCCTACTGAAGTTAGACAAATAGAATTATTATATATATAAATATATTAATATGTTATTTTACAAGTGTCTGTCTGTGCCCACGTGTAATCAGTTATAAATTTGGCACACTGCTCTTTATACAGGTTATTTCTAGATTGTTTAAAAACTTCTTGTTATTTTGGTGGAATGAAGATTTTATCATTAAGTTGAAATATATTCTCTGAGAAGGTTAATTAATATTGCTCAGAAAAAAAAAACCTGGAGAAAAATCAAACCAAATCAAAGATTTCAAATCATTATGTAACTATTTCTTAAAATGGTAAAAGATCATTATTTTTGTTGTTGCCTAAGGAATCCAATTATAAAAATTCATTTTGATTTGTTGTTTGTTTGTATGTCAAGATTTCTAAGAATTCCGTTTTTCCAGTTAAAAATAAGAAAACCATTGAACAATACGCCATACTTAAAGTAATCCTATATTTAACTAAAAGACTGGGTGCTGAAGTTTCCTTCTGCCATTACCAGTGCTTTTGAGAGTAGACCTGGATCTTCTCACTAAATATAATGGATAATAGATGAGCTAGTCTGTCAGGTGTTGAGGAGACATTAAACTGAGATATCTCTCATCCCCTGCTGGCATATCCCACTAGCCATCTGACCAACCTATTCCTGCTATCAATGTTATGAAAGGCGTCTGCTATTTGGTGCCATGGTATCAGCATCTCTACTCCATATATGGGAGACTGGGTGATTCTATTACTAACATATTGGAATGGTTCAACATGGTACCAGAATAGTTTATTTTAAAACTAGGGGTACTCAATAGGATGGGGGTCGCTTTTTTTGCATTTTTTGAAAATTTTGATTATAATTTATCAAAGATTACCTCAATAACTCATTAAAATTAAACTTTTTGAAACAATTTAATAAAATTGAGAACTTTTAGAAGAGTTTGAAAAGTTGGTAAAGTTTACCTGGAACCTGCCACCCCTGCCGTGTCAGTAAGTCTGAAGGTTCCAGTATATACTGTAAGAACTACCAGGTTTTCTCTTCAGTAAGAAATTTTGTTAAGAGCCGTAAAATTGCATGCATGCCTATTTACAATCATTATATCATAACAAAAATATATAGTGTTAAAATATCAACAACCAGAATTATTGTGTGAATTTCCGTGACAACTACCTTTTTATGTGTGTATATGACTGTGTGGACTTATCAAAATGTCAGGAAGACTGTCGGAACTTACAGATCTTTCGGAAATTCCTCCGTCCACGACAACTATCTCCACAGTAGCAGTCCAATCAGGAAGGTCCAAAGTTGTTTTGGCCATTTTGAGAGTAAGTAAAATTCTTTTTGGACTTCTGATGATCAAATTTGATTAAATATACTTGATTAAATTTGAAGTTGATCTGAATCTGGATATTGATTAGTATATGTATTGATAGTTGATAGTATAGTAGAATAGTTATTAAACTAAATTGTAGAATAGTAACATTCTCTCTAGTATCAGAATGATCTAAATAGGAAACCAAAAATTGACTGTGTTAGTCATAACATTCTCTGAAACGTTAGAATTATTTTGACCAAGATTGTAATCTCATTATAACACTAGGATCTGTGTTCTACAGGATGTGCAAGTTTTCTGGTCAGTTAAAAACAGTCAAAAAGAAAGTTTAATAACTTCTTTCATCTTCAGAATGAAGAGCTCAATAAAAATTTGGATATATAGACTCATGACCTTGACTATGACTTATAACTTTCTCCCTTCCATCTCACAGTATAATTCCCTTTTTCTTCCTTCAATGTACGAAATAAAAATTCTACAACCTTTCCATTCTTAATGGTAGATCTTGTGTAAGAATTGTAACAAATCTGGGGTTTTATGTCCAAAACTTGAATACCTGAACTGTAATTTTATATAACAAACCCAAACTTAATTTTATAATCCAAACCTAAAGGGTAGCTTTAACTTCAAAACCCAAGTTTTTATGTCACAAACCACCAACTTAACCTTATTTTATAAACCCAAAACTTACATAGTAATTTAGACCTTAAAACCAAATGTTTAGGTAACAAACTTAAACATAACTTTTTTTATAAACGAAAACCTACATATTATAATTAACCTTATCTTAAAGTTTGAAACCTGAATTTTTACAAACCCAAACCTAACCTAGCTTTATAAGTCTAAACCTTCATGTTAACTTCAAAACCTTAATTTTTATGTAACAAACCCAAACCTAACGTAGTTGTATAAGGTAAAAGATGAATCAGAATGTTTTGGTTGATTTCCAAGAGTTTAAGATGAAGATAAACCATTCTTTCTGTGTAGTTTATCAGTTTTAACCAGTAATAGATAATGACTCATCCCTATCTTTTAAATAGTTTATAGCCCATCTATATTTTACCTTGCTTTTTACGTAGAATTTAAGTATCAGGCGTTTCGAAGATTCCTTCCCTAATTACATACTGTTTATTCAGATGATATAAAAGTCCTAAACATGACCAAAGGTCATTTCATCTGATGACGACATGTGTATGTATGAAAAATTTGTGAAAATATGAAAAAATATCAAAATTTCCTAATAATGTCTAATATTTAATTTGAAGACATTAGTACCTGTAGTGAAAAATAGAGGCTTAAAATGATATCCCTGTCTTACACCTATTTAAGCTCCCAATTCGATTCAATCAGCTGATGTACTTACTATCTGAGATTCTTCAGCATCAATTTCATCCATGAATCAGGCAGCATGATTTCTCTCAGAACAATCTGGGCTATGAGTAAATCAGGCTCTATGTCAAGATATGTAATTACATATACTGAAAAATAGAGGCTTAAAATGATATCCCGGTCCCAATTTGATTTAATCTTATTTGACATAAATTTCATTAACTCCATCAAAGTTCTCTGGATTTTTCTGTCAGCTGATGAACTGTCTGGGATTCATCAGCATCAATTTCAGTATGAGTGTATGATCTCTCTCAGAACAATCTGGGCTCTAAAACATTAGTACATGTAGTGAAAAACACTGGTTTGAAATAGTATCCCTGTCTTATTACCAAATTTGATCAAAATGAATTTGATCTAGGCCGTTCTTAGGTCAATTTAGTTGTAATTATGGTATTTAAAATTCTACACTTAATAGTCAAGTATTGTATTTTGGCTATGGAGCAATCTCCCAGAAAGAAATTCGAAGCTTTGGAAAAGAACCATTAGTTTCCATATTCCATGCTTAACCTGGCCAATGACCCCAGATCCCAGGGGCTTGTCAAAAACATCTTGAAGCTTTTAATAATTTACATGAAAATTTTGGCTAACAGTGGTTTCCCTCCTTTAAAATTTCCTCCCATAGTGATTTCCTCCGTTTCAATTTCCACCCTATTGGTTTCCTCCCCTATTATATATAACCTTAGGATATGACACAGAATGACCTCAAGATATGAGTATAAATTCTACACCAAGCTAAGCTTGTGGTTCACTAAATAAGCAAGAAACATTGATGGATAAAAACTCCAAACCCACAATCTAATATCATAAAAACTCCAAACTGACATTCTAATATTAACAGTTAACATTAGAAGTTAACCTAATTAATATGTAAAGATATGAAAACTGACCTTAATTATCTCCAGGTCATTAGATCAAAAGTCCTTCAGACATTACCAGAATATCTGGTCAGGGTTTGATACCAGGAGGTAGGACCCCTGGTGCTTTATTTACCCTGGGTTCATTAAACACTGTTGTACATATTGTGTTGTAACCCCTTGTCCTTACTGGCCTCTATCACTCTCTGATCTGAGTGATACCCTATCTCATATGGTGTGTGCAGTTAGTTACATTTTGAGTAATAACCCTCAAGTCCCTACTGACTGGTTTCTTGGGCAGCATCAAGCCATCAACCCCTTGTAATCTGTATATCATTTGAGTGATATCAGATGTGATGAAGTGTGCCAGCAGTTATAGAAATTATTCCTCTGACAGATGTTAAACTCCAGCATCAGAATTGTTTTAATTAGAGAACCCAAACCACGTTTCTTCACTGGTTTCTGAAACTTGAACAAGATAAAACCCAGATTTCAGGATATATGGTTGTCTTAAAGATGGGTTTCCTTATATTTTAGTGTCAAATTAAGCAAACTATTTGATTAATTGGTGTTTCTAATGAATTATCATGTATTCTTAATCATATCATTATGTTCTTATTACATATTATTAAGAGTTTTAACCAATCATAAATATCCACGTATGTACAGTCTGGATAAACCAAAAAGTACTTTTTGACCTCCTTGATCTGTCACTCATTGGAATTCTGCTAGTAATTCTCTTCTGATTTAGCTAATAATGAATTAATTATGGACATGTGAGACAAACCAGTATTTTTCCAAGTCATAAGAACACCTCTACTTTCTATTTATATAAGTGTTAGCATTTTCAAATACCATCTTTAATGAATTACACTGAATATATTTGTGTATTATGAAATTCAGGATTAGGACCATTACCCAACACCCCCCTTCCCTTTCCTTCCCTTGCCTTCCCTTGCCTTCACTTCCCTTCCCATCCCCTCCAATCCCACCCCCCCAAGGGAGTGCAAACAAGAGTCACTAAGTTTTGTAAACTTCACTAGATGTTGGGTGTTAACTTGTGATCTTTTTATTGTTGAGCCTTTGAAACACATTATTCACAAGCCACTTGCCAATGTTCCAAAAAGGCAATTTCTGTTATGCTTACTCCTTTCGAAACACCTGATGGTACTTCTCTTTGGAGGAGTACACTACTATACAACTTTTACTCTTGATTTTGCCATAATTTGGACAAGATTTTGGTTAACGGAATTGTTTTGCTTGTGGTAAATTACACAAATTAATGCTCAGAATTGAATGGACATCCCTAGGAAATATATCAAAATAACACCTGAACTTTTGATAGTTTTTATAAGTATCTTTTGTTTTTTTGGTAGAAATTTGAACATGTGAACTAAAATATCTTTTTCAAAATTATACAGAATTGCTCAAAATGATGAATTATAAAATCAAACGTTATATAAGAAAACTTATTTTTAATTTAATCTAAACAAAATATTATATTGCTACTAGACTGTACTTAAAATGTTAAATACTGATAATATGGAAGTCTGTTTCCATGGTAACATAGATGCTATTTACTGCTGAACATATGTGATGAGGAATAACGAAGAACATCTATCTACCTGAAACCTGAAGATAAATGGCACGATTTTGGGTGGAAACCAAATTAAATATTTGTATACTTAGATCATCTTGCCAAAGCATTTATTAGGATAGGTGCACTACTACCAATTGCCAAGTTCTTATATAAGGTCATAAGGTCAAAGCAGATTCATGAGTTCGGGTCAGACATCAAGTGATTCAGTGGAAGCAGGTTTTGGATATAAACCCTTCATCAGGAAAGATTAGTAATATTTGATGTCTAACTCCGGATTAATTAGAAAAAAAGTACTAACGATCTGAAATGCAAAACAAAACCTGAAATCCAAAATAAATGTTATCCATACTTTGTTGGAAGTTATGTAAATATACAGAATCATTATATCAGCTACTATGACTCTTCCAAAGCATTGATAAAGTGACTTAAGGTGCTCAGGTAACTAGAAAGGCATTCAAGGTCAAAACACTGATTCAAATTAATCATGAAAACTTATACCCACCCCACCAAAGAAACATAATGTACCACCCTACCCCACCCAAGAAACATAATGTACCACCCTGCCCCACCCAAGAAACATAATGTACCACCCTACCCCACCCAAGAAACATAATGTACCACCCTGCCCCACCCAAGAAACATAATGTACCACCCTACCCCACCCAAGAAACATAATGTACCACCCTGCCCCACCCAAGAAACATAATGTACCACCCCACCCCAATTAAGATTCATCGTCAGAAACATAATGTTTAAGATTAAAAGATAACATGTAATATCCTCACCATCACACAATTGACATTGCCCGATACCCTAACCCTGCCCCATCCAAATTAACAATCATCTTCAGAAACATAATGTACCACCCCACCCCAGTTAAGATTCATCGTCAGAAACATAATGTACCACCCTGCCCCACCCAAATTAACAATCATCATAAGAAACATAATGTACCACCCTGCCCCACCCAAATTAACAATCATCATAAGAAACATAATGTACAAACCTGCCCCACCCAAATTAACAATCATCATAAGAAACATAATGTATTAGCTTATGCAATAGCTGGTATACTAGGAAAAAAAATTTTTGGTTCTGTCCCCACCACACAATTCACATTGTTGTTACCCTAACCCTGCCCCACCTTAATGAAAAATCATCTTCAGAAACATATATATAAGATTCAAAGATAGATTATACTATATTTATAATAGGGTGTGTACAGTTTATATTGGTAGGTTACAATAAACTAAACTTTTAAACTTTATTTACATCTATTTATTTTAATATTTACTTTCAAACCTGGTTTTATAGAATTATAAACTTCTATAACACATTGTTTCTGTTAAACCATTATTCCTTCATGAAAGGTATTGATAAGATGTCATTATCACAAAGGGTAGCTTTTGGGAGAGTGACGTCATAAACGCTTTGTGTTAGTGGAATTGCAGGAACCACAGACATCTGATTGAAAATTAAAAAGGTGCAAATCGATACTTGTCCCTTATACACACACAAAGTTTAAAAAAACCTCTTTACGATGCCTTTGATTTTTTATCCCAATGCTGTGGGTCAGTGGGCCAGGTTCCTTGGGCCTTATTCTTGAAAACATACCCTAGATAAAAGATCAGATGTGAGGAAATTCTGTTATCTAATAATCCAATCTATAAAACTGTATTCAGAATTGATTTAAGTAATGACCAGATGAAGAGATTGTTAAAATTATAATTAAAATTAGTTTTTGTCATTTGAGCTCCTGATCATATCGCTAGGGAATCAAGATTTTATCTTCACATTAAACTCAGGCTGTGCACCTTAAAGAACCCTTGAAAAATTTCCCTAATTGCATAGTGCATGGCATTGGTCTTCTTCAGACCGATCAGTTGCATAAATGTAGGACATAAAACACTGTTTCAAATCGTTGAATAGTTTAATACCAATAAAAAAACCTAAGTACTAAAGATTCAAAACCTAACTCGAAATCGGAAGTAAATGTTTGGCAAAACATTGGTTACAGCAAATGGAAATTCACACGAGGAAGTATTTTGATCATAAATATGGAAATATTTTAGTATACCAGTTAATGATTTCAATATTATATTTTCAGAGTGGAGAATGGATTCGAGTCAGAGTGCACCAGATGGAACCCGATCTTGTAGATGTGGGCGCCACCTTGGAAGAAGCTTTACAATTAAAAAGGGAACACGACGAATTAATCATCAAATTAAAGGTAAATATAGTTTGGTCGTATTTTGTTTATGGTGAAGATTAGAATTGTATCAGATGAGAGGTGATAAATAGTGACAAGGTTAATAATATAACAGTTTATTATCTGTTCTGGAACAGTTTCGAGAACGGAACAGATGAAAAATTATTAGTGTAAACTGTCGAGCGTTCTGAGAACAGTTCCAATTTGAGACTACCGAGGCAAGGTGACCTCGTAACAGTTTTCAGAATGCAACAGTTAAAATTTGGTTGTGTAAACGTTCGAGCGTTCTGAGAACAGAACGGATGAAAAATTACTAGTGTAAACAGTCGAGTGTTCTGAGAACAGTTCCAATTTGAGACTACAGTTTTCAGAATGGAACAGTTAAAATTTGGTAGTGTCAACGGTCGAGCGTTCTGAGAACAGTTCTTACGCATTCGTCTTGACCCCTTGACACATTCTACAGCTTCTGTGAGCAGACAAATTTGCCTTCATCCAGGTTATTAGAACATCTAAAATTAACTCTTTCATGAAGAGTTCAATTAAAATGCTATGAGAACAATAAATAATTTACACTATTGTTATAGAACTGTTCTCGGAAAGCTCGAAATTGTAGTTGTGTTAACGGTAAAAATTTGGCAATTTTGTCACGTCCCGGTTTAGACCGAGAACGGAACACTTCGTAGCGTTCTAATGTAAATGAGGCTAATGAAGTTCTAAGGTTCAATTTCTTTACTGTTTTTGTCGAGATGAGGGGGGCATGTATAAGTAACTTATAAGATAATTATGTATTATTTGTAGTTGTTGTCATCTACACTTGTTATAACAGTTGACTGTATTTAATTGTCCTCTATACCCATTTATCATATTATCACTGGATCATTTCCTTTCAAACGTACATGACTGTATGACATTGTAAGCAGGGAAATCCCAAATTCCCCAGATTCTCTCTTGTTGCATCCCAAATGGTGTTGCTCTTCTCATTAACCCAATCTGAATTACAAAAAATCTTTTAAACAAATACAATAGCTTGAATTTGATGAGAAAATTGAGTATGGTAGAGTGAGATCAACAATGTTAAAAGTCTGACTGAGAAGTAGTATTTTCACAACCTGTTGGGCATTGAAGTCTAGGAAACCCTTTGGTCTGAGCGCCCAGAGCTGCCCATTAGCTTAGTCTGGAGGAGAAATGTCTTCCATATTCCAGAAAAGAAATGTTCATAAATACAGAATATTCAGAATACATCTTTCTCCAGTCTGATAACTCAGACCCAATAATCTTCATGATAGTTCATACAATAATGAAATATTTTCACTGTTAAAATAGTGCTCAATAGTAAAACGGAACCTAAAAAAACATGTGTCCCCACTGGCTTGACTAGGTCCTGTAACCTAAAAAATATCAGCATCAACCATTTTAAACCATTTTTTCCATTCCACAAATAGTCAGACTTGTAAAATATTCAGAGAGAGCTTGTAGGTAATTTTCTCCACAAATATTCTGAATGGAGGTTTTTAAAGGGACATTCTACTTTTCCTTTAGGTCAAAAATCTTTTTGCTCAAATTTGTGAAAATTTTACACCAAAATCTAGAGAAATGTGTCTCTTAACGTATCTGAAAGTTTTAACTAAAAAAATCCAGCAATCTTTTTATTGCAAAAACTATTTAAAAAGTTTACGTGGAAAACAAAATGCAGAATGCCCCTTTAAGTATGATATCTCCATAGTATCCCCTCAAATACTCAGATATATTGCAACGTATTCCATATAGAAAGTCAGATTGACTGACTATTATTATAATATACCTACCACTAGTGACTATGATATCAGTACCCAGGTAATAGCTATGATATTTGGGCTGAGTGCCATGTGTTTAAGATTTCAGGCACCTGTCTGAGGCTATAAATAGTAACATCTACCATACTTTATTATCTACCTTCATCACACACTCCATTTCCTTTTCTGTTTTTTTTTCTTTGAAAGTTTCCTTGCAATGATTGATGTTTCCTTTCCATATTGGGTTTAAAGAATAAAAGTTATCATTACGCCCTAATGTAGGAAATGAATCTGAGCTTCGTTACAATAACTAGTGAACAACAGGACATACTTACTCTTCCTTGAAGTTATTGTAATGAAGCTCAGAAACCATTATGTAACTCTGCAGATTTGTTTGTCAACTTGAATCCTTTTCATTTGGATGGGACAATAAACCAAGGCCCCGTGTGCTACAGACTGTGCATGTTAAAGATCCCTCGACAGTTGGAAATTGAAAAATAGCAGGCTAATGCCACTGTCCTGGCAAAATTTCCCTCATTGCACCCTGCATGGCGTTCCCTGGCATTGACTGTCTTCATTAGCCTACATGGTGCAGAAAAGTAGGACGTTTCACTTTTGAATCAGTTTTCAAAGAGTTCCCTGATTATGTTTATATAAGTCTAGAAGTTTTAGACTAAAAACCCCAATTCAAACGTAAGAGAAAAAAACAAACCAAACTGTAGTTAATTTATACAGAGGCTCATTGATAACAGTAGGAAAATTTTGGTGTTCTGGGGAACCAGAGTGAGCAGCAATCAAGTTTGTATCAGAATAAATCTACTTTGTCAGTGTAATATTGATACTAGATCTGCACTGATTTCAGTTCTACCCTAGTGACAGTGCCAGTGGAGGTACAGGGGGGTATTTGTCCCCCTAGAAAAATAGTTTGTATCCCCAATTGTACCCCCACTTTATTTCTAACCAATTTAAAGATAGGATTTTTATACTTTTTCCTCAAAATATGCGTAATGCTAAAAACCAATCTACATGTGGAGAACGTTTTCAGATGCTCAGTTGGAGGCTCATGCCTATGCTCTTCCACAGAGCTGTCACATTTTGAATCTCATGACATGTGTCCCCCATTTAGTCAATCTTCCCTGTATTTGTACCCCCAGTCTCAGGTGGCTGCCACTGCCATTTGTCTACCCATTTTATCCCCATTTTTATTCTAGATTGATGATAGGTTTTGAAAATATTGAGACTTATATCTTCATGATTTAAAATTTTTATATTTTTCAGTCAAAAGAAGGAGAAGTACAACAACTTCTCCAGAGAGCTGACACATATGTTGACGAAAACCGGTCTCAATCAGATGTACACGCTGCCATGGCAGTGACCCTGAACGAGGCATGGAAAGCTCTCAATGAGAAACTAGACTTACGAGGTCAGATGTTAGAACAAAGCATTTCATTCCACAACAGCGTACAAGATGTAAGTTGGGTTTTTTTTATTCAGTTCTTTCCCGAATATTCTCTTGACCGTGGAAAACAAATCGATAATTAATTTTCAAGATTTAGGTACACAGAAAGAGAAAAACAAAACCTGACAAGGCAAAAACTGATGGTGTTGATTTGTAGGGTAGAGTACTTTTAATTCTGACACCCATATTTGGAGATAATAAAAACCTATACAAGCAACTCCATTAATAAAAATCTTGTCCAAAGTATTGCAAACATTTTGTTTATGGGGTGCTCAACTTTAGTGACTCAACAAGCCATTCAAGTCAATGTTTCAGGGGACCTGAACTTAGCTGTATATAATATATACCACGGGATTCTTTGTCCAAAATTCCCAAAAAAAGCTTTCTATAAAAAATTTGAATTTTTTACGTAATACTTCAAAAAATCCTGATGTTCAATTTATCAGATAAGAGAATAAAATCATATATACCATGGAATTATTTTGTCCAAAATCTTCCAAAAAATGGCTTTGAATTTGTTACGAAATAAATAAAAAAATGCTGAATTTTGTTCAATTTCTCAGTTAAGAGAAGATTATATTAGTTGTCAGTAAAAGCCTTGATGATATTAATACATTAGTTAATAGCAGTTAAAAGCAAAAAATGATAACTGACTCTAAAAATATTTCAAAATCAAGAAAAACACATTTATAGAACTGTGTTGCTTAAATCTGAAAGTGGTCTGGAGAAGTTCTCATATTTTACAGTTTTCTTAAAGATATTTCAACTGGACATGAAATTTTGTGACAAAGTTTGACTCATATTTGAATGTGCTCTCTTTTTGTTCATAGGGTAGTATTTTGATATTTCCCAGAAATGATTTAAATAGAGACAAAATTTTATTTCATGAAAAAGCTTTCCTCGAAAAGTGCTTGTGTGGATTTTTCATATTTTTTAAATATTTTGATGTAGGTTTTTTCATGCTGTTTGGATTACTCAAATGGAGATACAGTTCAAATTTATTGCATATGGAAAATTTCTCAGAACGTACTTACTATTCATATAGTTTAGAATATTTTAACATAGACACATTCTGAATATATGTCTTCCCATGAAATTTTGAGAATTAATTTAATTAACTCTGTTATTTGTGGGTCTAATGTATAATTTGTAATTTGCAGTTAAATAAGAAAATGGAACAAGCACAAAATAAAATCTCTAATGTACCTCTTGCATCCAACGTGGAATTAGCCAGGAGCTTATTACAACAACATAACGACATCAAATCTGGTGAGTAGCCATTTTGTTTATTAAAATTGAAATTCCAAATGTCTGATTTCTGTTGGTAATTTTTTGGATGCCAGGTGCAATTGTACAATGGTCATCTTAATGGCGTTCTTGGTTTTGTGAAATACAGGCGTCAGACAGAAGATCAGGATGGTGCTGATTGAGGTTTTATGTCCCTAATACACATTCATAGGCTAGAAAACATCTTCTAATCGCTTACAGTTGTTGTCTACTCCAATGCGATGTTTATGAATCAATTCAAATACTTTCCAGTTTTATTGTACCCACAAAGATTTCAAATATTTTGTCTCTACATTTTTTCAGACATTCTAGAATCATCCAAAGTCACATTAGACATGGGTCATGCTTTATTACAACACATCAAAGAAATGGGTGTGCATGCAGATATTCAAAATAAACATGCAACGACAGCAGCCTGCTACGGAATAGAACATCTACTCGAGTTGCTACATGATCGACGACGCCACCTAGAGGAACTCTGGGAATTAAGACGTCAAAAACTGGAACAATGTCTTCAACTCTGTCAGTTAGACCAAGAGGTTCACAAGGTAAGTTCTCGTTAAAAATAAACTGACAAGGATATCAACCTAGGTTCACAGTTAATGATCCTTTTTACCAGCTGGTTCTTGACCAAACCTCGGAATTATGAGTGAAGATGACCTATTGAAGGTCATTGGACTTTCACACACCAATCGCGATTTGAACCCACAGCTGACTGACCAAGCCAATGACGTCATGTAATGAACCAATGCTCTAACCCATGTCTTTCTTCAGAATGACTTGGTGCCATGATTTTCAAATAGACATCACTTTTGGAGAGTCTACATAGCTAATAATTTTGTATCATTATTGGATAAATAAAACTTGATAGTGTATTAATTAAATATTCGGGTGATATATCTATATAAATATTGATGTTTTTGTTGTTATAGATATTGGAATGGTTCCGAACAACTGGAGCCGAATATTTAAATCGATCACAACTCGGGAACTCGTATTCGGCAGCTTTGAGATTACAAGAAGAACATAATAAATTTGAGACCCAAGCAAGAGTAAGTTTTTTCTTTTATTTTCATGTGAATCAGATACTGGTTCATACTCAGTTGGAAATTAAATACGGGACTTTGTTCCAAACCATCACGTCAAAAATTGATTGTTTTATTTTTTATTTTTTGCATCTATTCTATTGCTCAATTCAAATTTCTGCTTTCAATCCCCGCATAGGTCGAGATAATACCTTCGGATTTTTCAACCCGGGTTCCCCTGTCAGTGATGGGACAATAAACTGAGCACCTGTGTGCTACAGGCTGTGCACGTTAAAGATCCCTCGACAGTTGGAAATCGAAAAAGAGCAGGCAAATGCCGCTGTCCTGGCAAAATTTCCCTCATTGCACCCTGCATGGCGTTGCCCGTCTTCATTAGCCAACAAGAAAAGTAGGACGTAAAACTCCATGCATTTCATTTCAATTCAAATTTCTGCTTATGTCTGTTAATCTTCTCATCTTGTATTTGTTTTTCAGGACATCCAAGAGACTGTATTGCAACTTATTCGTACAGCTGACCAACTTCTGCGTCGGACAAACCTTGATGCGGAGGGTGTGAGACAGCGGTTGCTAACGGTCGATAACGAATGTGAGAACTTCATGAACCAACTTGACAACAGAAGGAGAAACATCACAATGTCTGTCTCCTTCTTTAATTTACAAGAAACGGTGAGATCAGATTTCATTTTTCAAAAATATTCCTTGAACTTTATACAAAAATATCTTGAACTTAAGGTAAAAATATCTTGAACTTAAGGTAAAAATATCTTGAATATAAAGTAAAAATATCTTGAACATAAAGTAAAAATATCTTGAACATAAAGTAAAAATATCTTGAACATAAAGTAAAAATATCTTGAACATAAAGTAAAAATATCTTGAACATGAAGTATATGCATATCAAAATGTTTTATTTAATACTTCTGTTTATCCTTCCAGGCTCTAACAAAACTGGAACAGATAGAAGTCCAACTTAACAGCACGGACTTGCCAAGAAATAGCACCGAACTTGCTGAGCGACATGCCCAATTGTCTAACGCCATTGTAGAATGTTCTACGCCGGCTCTACGCGAGGGTCGACTCCTATTGGAGAGGGTCAATAGGGGAGACTCTGGAGCCGATGACGTCAGACAAAAGGTGAGTTTTTTTAAATGTAACCTTAAATGGTGTTTTTACTTAAAATTTCTTACAATATTTATCACCAATAGGCTATAAAGATATAAATTTGAAGAAGACATTAACAATGGTGTTGCCTATTAAAGGCTATATTTTTATATCTATATTGAAACTATGGTGTTTGGCCGGACAATGAAAATTTCAACCCAAGCTTTGCTGTGGTATCACATTGTTGGCACTGAGAAATATTGTAGTCCAATGGCCAGTACTTAATACTCATTATTAAGCTACCATCGTGAGGAAGCAATTACCCTTGCCTTGATCTGACACTCACTCTTTATATATCTGATCCATGAAATAACAACAAGACTATTCCTCATTAAAACAGAACTCAAAACAACGTGTTATTCAGAAATATTCAAACAGAATTGGAATTTGTTGTTACTGTTTTCACTCTGTGGGATCTTCAGACAACTGATCTCTTTCAGCTGGTGCCCATATTTTAACATTCCAGAGGGTGTACAAATATGTGGAATAATTTTTGCCCTGCATGTTTCTAAATTATACATTGACATTTCAGATGGATGAGCTTCAAGTTCGTTGTGCCCACCTTGAGTCACTGTGTAAGGCAAGAAGGGCGCAGGCGTGGGAACGTAGTCAGACTTATTTACAGTTCCAGGAGAAATACAACAGTGTAAGTTTATTCAGCTATTTTTGATGAGGCTTAGGGAGAGGGGAGGTCAGGGCAGGGTGTTGGGGTCACAATAGTTACAGCGCAAGTTTATTTATCTATTTGTAATGAGGTCTAGGGGGGGGGGGGGCAGAGGGGGCAGCCGCCCTCCTTGCAGCCCCGAAAGCAAGTTTTCATGCAAAAAACTAGGTTAGAGATTCGCACAATCTCAGATATCTCCCCCCCCCCCCCCCCCAAAACCACTTTTGAAGGAAACCTGGGTCCCCCCCTGC